ACTGACTGTTTGATATAAAAGGTCTCAGTGATGGCGAGGGAAAATCTTTCCTGGTAACTATTTTTGGTCGTGATGAAATTGAGCTGAAGTCGACAATGAGCAGGAAATGGAAAATTTGCAGTATTTTTGAGTTCACCGATGACCTAAGCTTCAACTCAGTTGCCGTTTGCGAAGGACTAGTGGCAATACTGTATGAAATTCGATCGTTGGAGAGCCTACAGCGTGCCATAACTGATTGCAAGCGCTTGACTATCAACAAAGTTACTTCAGTAACAACAGATACTCTCGAGCTGATTTTCACTCAATAGGATTTTTGGGTCGCGTAAGGATTCTTCTTACCGAACGTCGTCCCTCGTCGTCCATTGCACGCAAACTCGATGTGAAGATGAATATTTGAAATTGGAGTGGAAAGCTACGATAGCTGCCTCTAAACCACTGCCGCTGCCAATGGACTTTGGGTAAAAACATCGCCACCCTACTGTGAGGGCAGTACCCGGGCACGTCTCATGGCTGCTTCGTGGTCAAGATCAACTAGCTAAAGCGAAGTTGATATTTTTGCTGAAATTGTGCCCAGCTTCCCGATATCGGCAGGGCATGCTAGCAGGTATTTGCATAACTACAGGGTAACGCTCAGAGTCATGGCCGACTTGGAAGGTATTCGAAGATTAGCAACTGTCATCGTAAAATCGGCTCGTCACATTTTGAACGGCTATTATACAAAACTCGCTAAATATTACCGACGTTACTCGACCAAAATATCAACTCTTCCGCCTTCCCAAACCTCATAGCATTTATGGAGCTTGAAATTCGAAGACAGCGGCTGCCTCTGAAACGACTTTTCTGAGTTCGTCTACTGTCAGCCTTAAATTTTCTGTTAGAAAGGCGTTTAGTCCAGGATACAGCCAAAAGAGTAGACTCGTGTCTACTTTACTGATTGATTGCTCCGTTCTTTCAATGATGTGAAATCTAATCCACCAAAGAGTTGAAATGCGAGTTCGGGTTTTGAGATATTATAATAATTTAGCTGTGTCTGCTCTCTAGGACTCATTCCGTTTCTTAGGCAATCTTTTTTGGCGACCGACCGCAGCGCTGAATCAGCATTTTATATTGAACACCTGACTGGCCTGCTATGTAGAGTGAATGGACTTTGCTCTGTTAGAGGCATAGTTTATGATAAAAATGGTTGCTAAGCTTTTCCCTCATGATTGTCCAGGGGCCCCCATGGGTAGCAGAAAAGACGCTGTCGGGCTCAAAAACTCAAAAGCTAGGGGATAATAGGTCGGATGGCACGCCCATATCAGACGAGTGTCGAGGCGATACAGTTTTTGCTAATCTCACCGGGACCTACACGGACTCGTGATGAATCAGCTGATCGTCCGATGGTGAGGTGATGTTTAACTTCTATTCCGTTACTCTCTGCTGCTCTTTTTGCTGCTGCCGTCCTTCGCCTTGATTTCTACCTCGAAGGGATGAAAAGGGTGGATCACTTTTGCTGTTAATAATTTTATAATTAACTCATGCTTATGAGCGAGTGAAATTGAAAGGGCGTTACTGCCTTTTGTAGTCAGTTATCCACAGCAAGACCCACACGTACGCAATGATACATTGATACAATGATATATTGTATAGCTTGTCCAAATGCCCCCGCAACTTCATTTTTCTGGCCTGATTCTCGTCCAATCCCTTTTTTAACGAGTTTTAGAAGCCTTTTATCAACACCTATTCGAAAGCTTTCTTCGCATCTACGCACTATTCTCCACCTTCTCTTTCATTTTTCTTTAATGTCCGAATAACCCAAAATAATCGTGATCTGTGTCTTTAAGGTAATGGTAGCACAGAGTGAGTGGCACGTTCTGTTAAGGTGATGGTGACTCCACTTCGCACCCTTTTTATGGCTCCTGAGGTTATGATGACAAACCGTGTTGTACGGCGTTTTGGTGAGGAGAATGCATTGCGCTGCGTTTTTCGTGATGATTCTGGAGCACGACTCATTGTCAAAGATTTCGTTCAAGGGCCGTGTTGTGATCGTGAGTGTTCTATTGTTTCCCCGTATGTACGTTCACTTGTTATATTGCTTTCATCGACACTGCACACAAAGCTGCGCAGTCTAGGAGAATGTACTACATTAGCTGCCAAGTATCTAGAAAGATGAAGGAAAAAAGATTAAGCTACTTGGCATAAGTCAGTCCTTTTCTTTTGTATAGGCTCATCGTACAGGTCGTGTGCGCATTCAAATTTTATTACAATTCTAAATGCTTGTCGAATGCGCCCCCACATTCGTTTACCATTTAGAATCGTAACTGCATCCGAATCAGCATATGGCCTATGTAATGATCTCAGGTGCCAGCCAGTGTACGAGTCAGGTACCAGTTGACCGTCCCCGAAGAACGATATGCTTGGTTGATTGGGCGAGTACCGATTCTGGAATCGGTCCCTAATTAATATGTTCGTACTGATCCTTTCCAAGTCTCCCTAATGACGTCCGCCCTGGCACTTTGACGTAGCAAGGACTTCAAAGTTGAGATTTTTTGATTTCCTCATCACTGCTTTAGAGAGCTTGGCGCTGAATAAAACTGTGTTACATCCTATACAAAAACAAAACCTTACTAGTTGGAGAGGGAAACAAAAGAAAGGCGACTTCGCATCTGTCTTAGGACCAGTCAATGTGGGTATAAAGTTGCGAAAATTCCTCCAGCTATTGTGATAGTTTAGTCGTTCAAGACAAAAAGTGGAGAACTGGATATTTCTCAAGATTTGCTTCGAACAACTGGCAAGATGATAGTTCTGTATACGATCGAGATCTGGAGTTGGGAATAGAAGTAATGTTGCTGCTGTGATGCCATGACTACTTCTAAGCAATCCCCTAATTTCTTCGTGAAGTGTGAGTTTCCAGTTCAAGATCTTGTCATAAAAACCGATGCGAGGGAGTGTACGTGTTATTAGTGTTTAATACGTCAGTCGGGGGTGGAGGTGAGGGACAGATTCAATAATATACATGTGTATCGATCCGATGAATTCATTTCCCTCAATCATTTTTTACAACTGAGTTGCAATTTGTTCAGAAAATTCAAGCTGCATTGGTCACCCTGACCCTAAACGACGGCTTTCTCCAAAAATTCTGGTGGGAGGTTCCTTCTATAAAGTGGCTTGAAATCATGGGACCACCAAGTAAATGCACGCAGTTCTCGAAGCAGGACCGGAACGAGAGTTTCACAACAAGCTCCTCATCTGTGCTGAGAGTTTTGTTATTATAGGGTGTGCTAAGTGCACTCTTCCAAATTTCAAAAATTTAGTGGTCATCCTGCGATTCTTTCCTTGTGAACCAACCAGCTCCGTCGTGCACACTAACGCGTGCGTCACAATACAGAATGTTTCGAAGAGGAATGAATTTTCGATCCAAGTCTCTCCCTTGGAGATTTTGGCTGTCGGCTGTGGTGGGTTATGAGTTTATGCAGAACGTTCGGGAACGCTTAATTAAGTTCGTATGGGTCTCTTTTGTTTGTTTTGTTCACCTAGTCCTAGCTTTTGCTATTCTTCCGTGTCTGGACTTTTCGGAGCATATCTGTGACCCACCTAAAGAATTTGACCATTCTTCTATTACCTACAATCACGTTTTCCTGCATTATAAATAGAAGGTTTTTTAGCAGAGTCATGAATCTTTGACCCTAGACCCGCTCACCCTGGTGAAAACTCCGCTCACTCCGGGATTTGGCCTAATTCTTCTGTTACTCGAACCATCGAAGCGGGAGAGGTGGTGTAGTGACAAGTGGCGCACCTCGCACACGTATGGTCACGGATTCGAATCCCGGGTCGATATCCGCGTGGGGTAACGAAGCCTCCCATCCTTCCGAGGTTAGTGAATTGGTACAAGATATGTCTGGGAGGTTGAAAAAAGCACTGATCACATCGGCTGGCTACCCCAAGTCATTGTGTAGGCCACATACGCATTTAATACGCCACTGCGATTCCGAATGGAAGTCGAATGCGTGGGCGCATTCCTTTGACGGAACTGAATAACGCCCCGAGACCATTCCCCCCATCCTTTACGTCTAACTACATTTTCCCAGCATTCTAGAACATTTTTGAACAGTGTTACGGATCTTTGATCATATCCCCGCCACCTCAGAGGAAATCCAGTTTACTTCAGAGAGTTGGCCAGTTTTCTTCTTCTACCTCTTTCCACTTTCTTCCTCTACATATATATATATATACATATATATATATATATCACCTTATCAGTTTAATGTCCGCTCTTCAAGGGTGATTTCGCCAGCCTTGCAAGCTTTGCAAGTCGCGTCCATGCCATTCACTTCGGTTTCTTGCAACTTGTTGCCACCTCTGTCCGAATACTTTTCTAAAAGGATCACCCCACCTGGCCGGGGGTCTTCCTCCTCGCAGTCTTTTTGCTTCGCGGGAGTACCAATTGGTCACACGGGACGTCCGACGGTTATCATTCAAATGAGCTACATGTCCTGCTCATCGTTTTTTTGAGTCGTAGATATTTTCAATCACATCTTTGACGCCAGTTCGAATTCAAATTTCGCGATCAGGAATTTTATGCATCAACGTGACACCCCACATGGCTCGTTCCATTGCTTTTTGACTGGATGCCAGTCTTCTTTCTTCGTTTATGATTGTACTCCATGTTTCGCTTCCATACACCAGTACCGGTAGGACATGGATGTTAAACACACGGGCTCTGATTTGCGCATCAATTCTTTTATCAGTGAGTACATCACGATACCTGCTGAATGGCGCCCAGCCCGCCTTACGACGACGTCCTATTTCGATTGACGGATCGTTGTCCATTGTGACTGCTTGGCCTAGGTATACGTATGACAAAACTTCTTCAATGATTGAGTCTTCCATGCGTAAACAGTAGCCACTAGCGTAACTGTTTTTCAACCACTTGCTTTTTCCTGGATGGATCTCTAGACCAATAGAGCTAGCAGCGTTTCTTGATCCTTAATAAATTTCCGAAAGCACTCGGTTCGCTTCCAATGAGTACAATGTCTTCTGCAAACACTAGGTATTGGAAGCTTTCTCCGTCTATGTCGATTCCGCAGGGCATCTGGGCGTTTCGCATCACTATTTCCAGAGCAGCAGAAAAAAACATCGGGGAAATGATCTCTCCTTATCGAACTCCGCGTCATATCTGGATGCGGATCGGGTTTCTATTAAGGTTTACGTCGGTGAAGCAGCTGGTATTGCACTGTCGTATCATTTCCTTGTACAGGGTTTGTACCTTGCAGTGGTGTTTAAGCTTGGGGCGGGGACGGAATATTCGTCAGAATAGAGTTACGCCGGAACTCCATCGATTCTCATGACTAAAAAACCCAAAGTGCTCAAGCTCATGGTGGGACGGCGCTCTCCTTGAGCGATAGGAACGCCCTAGTGAGGCCATCCTGTGGGACGAAGATCTACTACGACCACTTCTTATCCTCGTCTTAGTCCCCTGCAGTCTGTCCCTGCCCAGTCTGGTAGCGCTGGATCAGCACATAGCCAAAGGTGAAGAAATCTCAGGGCCATAGGCCACCAAAGAAAACGGACAAGAGTGAGCCAGCTGATAGCGTGCACCTATAACTGTCGAAGCATCAGCTCGGCAGCTCAGCTTCCGATGAAGCTGGATTATATTAAGTACCATGTAATCGACTTGAGCGAGACGAAGCGGAAGGAACCTCTCTCATGCACCTGGACCGACGGAACTTTAGTGTTCTAGAAGCCCGAAAAACGAATTCAACGTCAGGAGTTGTTGGTTTTCTTATGTATCCGAACTTCTCCAAGCACGTAAAGAGCGTAACGCTCCATGGGCACCGATTCGCCATACTAACCGCATACCTTTCGAGAGATTCGCAAATCACCATCATTCAGGCTTACGCGCCTACAGCTGACAGCGATGAAGAGCAGCATGACAACTTCTACGAACAACTCGAGGAGCTTACGCGTAGGCGAAGTGGTTACGTCGTTGTGATGGGGGACTTCAACGCCCGGGTTGGATCACAAAAGCACGGAGAGGTCTTCATCGGGCCACATTCCGCAGAAGAGCGCAACGAGCCTGAGGAGAGATTAGCGAGTTTCTGTGAACTGCATCACCTCTACCATGGCAATAGTCAGTTCCTCAAGGCACCACGGAAAAGATGGACTCATATCTCGCCGAATGGACATAACTGTCACGAAATCGACTACATTTTGTACAATCGGAGAATTATGAGGGATCATGTGGCGGTTGTTCCTTCTTTCAACACGGGGAGCGATTATCGTTTGCTGCGAGGGCGTTTTCACCTCGATCGCGGCTTGATGCGTCTGACGCGCATACGTTCAAGGCAGCCGTGCCCCACTACGCTGGACGAGGATGCGGTCACGAGGCTTGCAAAAAAGAGTTGTTTGAAGTGACCGATGACTTCGACGCTGACCACGAGAACCTCGTGCAAACCGTAGCAGCAATCGCAAACGGCTGTCGCAGTGTTGCTCCCAACCACAGTTCTCTTCGTATCTCTGCTTTTACTCGTGCACTACTCGAGAAGCGAAGAAATATGGATCGACAGGAAAACCACATAGAGTACACTTTGCTAATTAGGTTGTGCAGGCAACGAATTGCTGAAGATCACGCCAAGTTTGCAATATCGAAACTCCTAGAGGAGGAAGAGAGCAGGCGGAGTTTGAGGAAGGGGAGAAGAAAGAAAGATAGCTGGGCACCGTCTTAGGATTCCATGCTTAAAAACTACGAATGGAACTCGATACTGCTCCATACCTGGAATGGACGAAATCTTGACAACGTTCTACACCTCTCTGTTCAGATCGGACCTTCCAGTTGCGAGAACAGAAAGATCAGTTCTGGAGGAAACGCTGCCTTTTCTGTCATCAGAAGTGCGTCATGCGATTAAAACGATGCCTCGAGGCAAGGCGCCGTGAAAAACGGCATCTCCGTGGAACTTCTACGAGCGTGAGAGCCTCCTTTATATCGAGCACTTGCAAGACGATACACTCGCTATCTGGCGGAGTGTACGGTTCCAACGGCGTGGAAGCAAACTTCGACGGCGCTGCTGTTAAAGAAGGGCGACAAAGAAGATCTAGCGAGCTATCGTCCTATCACGCTTCTGCCAGTACTTTGTAAAGTATTCACGCGTTGTATACTGGCACGAATCCGTAGGACCTTAGAAGAGGCTGAACCGGTAGAACAAGCGGGTTTTCGTCGAAACTTCAGTACCCTCGACCACATCGCAACTTGCCGACGTCTTATCGAGGCTTCCCGGTAGCATCGCCTTCCCCTCGTAATGACCTTACAATGACGTTGTAGTAGCAGTACAGAAAGTAGTACGACAAGGGGATCCGATATCGCCAAACCTGTTTTCCGCCTGCCTAGAGCACGTCATACGCCGCTGCAACTGGAGTAACTTTGGTGTTAACATCGACGGTGTGCGTCTTAACCATTTGCGATTTGCCGATGACATCGTGTTGATCACGGACTCTCCAGAACACGCTTCTGAGATGCTGCATCGCCTAGATGAGGAAGGAAGCCAGTGTGATCTCACCATCAATACGTCTAAGACCAACGTAATGCGAAACCAATTCTCAGGCGATACCCCTGTAATTCTGAAAGGAGGTGGTATCGAAGACCTTGACGAGTACGTGTACCTCGGGAGCCAGCTTAACATGAGGAACGACCTAAATGGAGAGTTAGCAAGACGTCGCAAGGCTGGATGGGCAGCATTTTACTCCATAAGAAGCGTACTAGAGGACACTAGGGACTGCAAACTTCGAGCAGACTTATTTAACTCAACGATGTTACCTGCCCTCAGCTACGCGGGAGAAACCTGGGCTCTGACGAAATCACTAGAAAGACATTTAATGTCCACCCAGGCTTCGATTGAACGTCGTCTTTTGAGTCTAACGCTGAGTCGGCAACGGGAGCTCAAACTTCATAATTCCAACGTCAGAGCAATGTCGACAGTCAAAGACGTTCTAGTTCACGTCGATGAAGCGAAGGACAGGTTTGTCAGACACCTAATGAGAGGAGAGGATGGACGATGGAGCTCGGCCACTATACGATGGTACCCACGAGAGAAGAAGCGGCCGCATGGCCGTCCTCCTTTACGATGGGCAGAATCTCTAGCTTATCGGAACAACGTCTATGATCCGGAGTCCTTTAGGGTGACTACGCACTGGACAACCAGAGCTAAGATCGAGAACAATGGAAAAGAAGTTAGGACCCGCGCAAGACCAATCGCCGTGCTGATGCACGGGTCGTCTAAGTATCTAAGTGAGTGAGTATCATTTCCACGTATCTTCGGGAAACTCCAAAAGCTGTAAGGACGTTTAGCACTGCTTGATGTTCAACTGTATCGAAAGCCTCCTTGAAATCAATTAAGAGGTAACACAAAGGGATCCGGTATTCTCGACATCTTTCCGTCAATTGAGAAATCACGTGGATTTGGTTCGATAGTGGAAAAATCTTCGCGGAAGCCAGCCTGCTCTTTGCATGTTTTTATATTTGGGATTTGACGAATTTCAGGATTACGCGTGAGAAGACCTCGAGCATTGTTGAGAGAAGTGCAATCGGGCAGTAATTAGCCAGGATGTCGCGCGCACCTTTCCTGTCGAATAGTGTGGGAGCTCAGCCAGTCTTTCGGAACAATTCCTGAGGCAAGCACTTCTGTGAATAGTTCAGCTAAAGGCTTCGCAAGAACTTTCTGCAGGCACTTCAAATGTTCTGGCCGTATTTGGTCTGATCCGGGTACTTTTTCGCTTTTTATTTGACGAATGGTTTGTATCACTTGATTCGAAGACTCTCCATTCCCCTTCGTCGGATTTATCATTGTCACTTTCTGATGGCTCCGAGTACGCTTCTACGTAAACTTTGGGAAGAAAACAAGTCTTGGAAAAAGGTCCGGATTTCCTCTTCTATATCTTTGCGGTCCCGCGAGACAGTGCCATCTGCTTTCGTCAGACATTCAGGAGTGGTGGTCTTTAAGCGAGTACTTATAAATGTTTTTTTGATGCTCGTCGCTTTCTTGGCCGCTTCTCTTGCTCTACGTGCAGCATATTCCCGGTAATCATTTTTGACTTTAACTCGTATAGCTTCTGTTGAGCACTGTACGAGGGAGCCACATGGGTCATAGTTTTGCCTAGTTCCTTCCGCGTGGCTAACATCTGCAGGGTGACAACACTCAACCGCTCTCGTGGATTACTCCGTGCACGTTGTGACGCATTTTTGACGGCAGTTCGGACTGCGGGAGTTACTTTTCCGTATCTGGCGTGGACATTTTCTGAGCCTCCAGAAAGTTCTACAGTTGCCGCTTTCGTTTTCAGTGTTTCTTCAAGAAGCTCATATCGAATTGGTTTGGAGTGATGTGCAGCTAGTCCGCTTCGCTCTTCTTTCGGCTTTATTGCTATCGTTGCTCGAACTAAACGATGATCTGGTCCGATGTTGAAGTGTGATTCTCCGTGACGCCAACGTTGCGAAAAACTCGTAAACAGTTCGTCAGGATGAGATCAACTTCGTGGAACGTCTGCCTGTTTGGAGTATGATAGGTCCATCGACAGCCCAGACGTTTTGAAAGTATGTGGTAGCTACCGAAAGTCGAGTTCATTCACAGAACTGAGCCAGTGTTTCTCTCCGATTGCTGCGTCCTGGAATTCCGTGTGGCCCGACATGATTCTCTCCAGATTCTCCTCGGCCAAGGTGAGCATTATAATCGTGAGCGCACGCAACATACGTTCCTTTCGAAGGGCTGTTCATTGCATTCTCGAGAGCATCATAGAGTTCCTCTACATCATCATTGCCATAAGCTCCGGTAGGTGCACACACTGACAACAACTTCATCGTGCTCCCTCAACTCAGTTCAAGCACAAACATCGCGATCCGTTCAGAAAAGATTTCACAATGAGTGATCTCCCCTGCCAGATGCGGCGCGACGATGAATCCGACTCCTCCCCGTTCTTGGTCCAGAACCAGCATGACTTCATGACCCGTTTGCTATTTCCATGTTCCTGCTTCGAATCTCAACGTTTCTTGCACACATGCCACGTCTACTGCACCTCTGTCCAATTCAGAAATCAACTGGTCAACCGCAGAATCACGAACAATACCTCGAACATTGATGGTAGCAATTTTCAGAAAACAGCTTGGCAGATCGCTCGCCGTGATATTTCTCCCCTTCTGCCGTTGTCCTCTCTGCCGGGAAGGACGGTGGCCCACGGGACTGAGGGTGCTTCTTGTACAATTTTACTCATAGATGCTGATGGCCTGGATTTGCCCCTCCCCGCCTAGCCATAACTAGCGGTAGATCCACTGCCGGAGGTAGACTTGTCCAAGAGGGGACCCGTATTTAGCCTCACTCAACACGTTGTTGTCCCGGCAACACAACGAGTGGTCTTATCTTCGAGTGAGTTTACACCATCCCACTGTTTGAAGTAACGGGGCTCGGGATGGATATATATATATATATATATAGCTCTTTTCATAGTGGATGACTTTATATACATACATTGCACAACAGTACAGTAGTTTCACATTTGCATCGCCTCTGAAAGACATGGAGATACGGAGTATGGATAGGTTGTGAGCTATGCGGTCACCGGTATTAAATTAGAGAAGATTCGATCCTGACTAGTTGACTATCTGTCTTCGCATGACTCGGCGTCCTGATCACCTACGACAAGAGCTGGATTCTCTACGTGAACCACACGAAGAAGCGCCTGTGGCTGGAGCATGGAATCCCGACCCCTAAACCAGAAGTCCAACTTAAGAATGCAATGTTTAGCGTTCGGAGGCACTCGAAAAGATCGTTCACTGGGACTTGCTGCACCAAGACCTAGTGTATTCTGTTTGATGGCGTTGCTGCAGCATTACGAGGGGGGGGACAGGGGAACTTCCGCTATTTCCACGACAGTGCTCCACCACACATTGTGAAGAAGACCCAGAGGAAACTGCGAAGGCTAAGATGGTATGCTCTGATCCGCCTATAGTATTCAACAGTACTGGCTCTAACAGACTCTCTCCTGTTCTTGTCTCTATCAAACCATTTCAAAAATAGTAAGTTCGATTATGTAAACAAACTTGAGGCCTGCATTGACAAGTGGTTTTCCCCGAAATCTCAGAAAATCTATGCGAGCGGAATCCACAGGTTGCGCTATTAATGCAATAATTTGTCGATAATGACGGTGTTGGTAATTCTTGTGAAGGACAAAATTGAATTTGAAAAAAATTACAAAATGTGCAAAGACTCCCATGGCAATCTGATATTTTCAAATGTAGCTTCCATTTAAAGCGCCCAACACGCATAAGACCTTGCTCACTCCTTTTGTTTTTTTTCTGGCCCACCTGCTCAGGCTGAATCAAACTATGAACTCGTATGGAAAGTGCCGTCCACTGAAAGCACTCTCCGCCCACCACCGATGAGTTTCTTTCATTTGACTTGTGGACCCATCCCTAGCTCATCTTCCCGGCGTCTGCGCTATCATAAAGCTTATTAAGATGTTTCGTCCATGACACCGACCACTCCTGTAAATGTCCTGCCTTCTGTGAGCGGAGCTTGGCTAAGCCCACATGTGCTCTTTTGATCTTGCCTATGTCCGACCCATCCCGAACTTGACCCTACCTCTACAGGTGCTACAATATCTAATTTTCGTACGAACAAACAAAGAAACAATCAATCAAACAAACAAACAAAACAATAAACAAATAGACGAACAGGCAGACGGAAGCAGTGCATTACATATACATGTTAAGAGTACGGTTGTCGGTTCGTCGGAGGGTCTGTGTGTCTTAATTAGATGCGCCTTCGTCACTATTTCTTCATTATTGCAGCTCTGATTGAAGCCAATCTAGCAATCCAGGACAACATCAGCCTAATAAAAGTCAACAGCGAAAGAATAGTTTTATGCCGAACATAAGCGACGTTGTTCGGCAAATTTAAGTGCGGTGATTGTTAGCGTTTCGATTTCGTGAGATCGGGTCCACCACTTGGCGTGATGTACATAGGCGTTGCAAAGAACGCACCAGAGGTGAACCGACATCTTACCTTTAACAATTGGTGACCACAGCCTTCGCCATCGCCTAATTGCTAGAGAATGGAATAAGATTGGCAAGATAGGCAGGTGAAAGTCAGCATGCGAACTGTCGTTGATTGACTTCTAAAAAAGTATGACCTCATGTGTTTCAGGACCGGGCAGAGTACTGGTAACTTCCTAGAGATAGGACTACATCCTGTTCACAAAAATCAACATTGTGTCAACTTCTTCGAAATGACCGTGTGTGATGGAGGGATTCAGTAGAAAAAGCGGGCTCGACAAATGAGTGCAAACACATCATTTCAAAAACACGACAAAGATCCTTTGAAACAAATGACATATCTGCCTTTTCCTCCGTTGCTGTGAAATTACCCTTAGATACCGCGGAAGTTGTACTTTGTCTTTTCAGGTCCTGTAGCGCAAGCAATCACTAAAAAAATTGGAATTCAGTGAAAAGAGTGAAGGAAAAACCTGCTATGGTCAGCTAGCGATGATGAAATCATAAACCCGACAATTTCATCGAGTCAGTCTTCGTCGCTTACTTGAAACTGCTGACGGTGCAATTCCAGTTGTTCATTCACATTTCACAATACTCGATTTCACTTCATCAAAGGCAGCTCTATAGCTTATGCTCGACTGTTAATCCTAGCCAATAACAATTCGACCTGAAAAAAATACCGTGACCATTTTATGCATGATGTGCGACTTGAGTGCGTGCCAAAGAAATCCCAAGGAAAAATAACTCATGGGGTGTCCGGAGAATTTGAGGAAATTCGGCCAGCTTTTTCAACACAAAATAAATACAATTAGATCAGTGATAAAGATAGTGACCGTTCCTAGCCGAAATGTTTTCCCATCGACCAAACAGGGCACTGATTCCAATTCTCCCAAACGAAGAGATACTTGACTCCCTGACGACTGTTGAATTTTTTCGCTTTATAGCTGGCCTATGGGATCCTGAACTATGGCATCATATAGGTTAAGGTCAGATGAATGTATGGAGAGTGGGCATGTCAGGTTATGCCAAGCCTTTCCAGTTCATCGATCGACGTCCTCACGTGTCGTGGTTGTTGATTAATCATCACATCAAAATTTTCCTTGTAATCGGTGTAAAATGGGGGCTCGAAACACCATCTCTCAGAGTACTCTCAGTTAACAGAATACTCTTTTGTTCACCGCAGTACACTCTGATGGAATCTTAAAGTAAAACACCCGCGTGAGCAGTGGAAGGACGAGCCCGTGTCTTTCTTGGCATGATCGCCTCGCCTAATAGCCGGCTGTGGCCCCGTCGGCTTGTAAGCATTGCGATTTCCTGTAGCATCCGATTCTCCGATTTCACCATATCTCATTAAAAGCCTGAATTTCATAGCGAACAGTTTCGTAATGATGAAGCAGAAGATTCCGGTAGTCTTGTCGATAGTATACCGTCCGTAAGTGATTACTAGTTAGCTCGCCTTCGTCAGAGCCTAAAAAGTCGAAAACCACTGAGACTGACTCTATAAGGCGAAATAAACCTAAGACAGTTCTTTAGACTAAAGACCCCTCGAACCCAGTATACAAGAGGCTTACCTTGATCTAAATCGCCGAAACGTTAGATCGACCACCCAGTGTTTACAGTATGCGTACATTGAGCAAGCCTTCCTCCTTTCTGTCCTCACCGTAATTTCAAAATTCGCAGAGGTCGAGAAAGGTGCGAAGTCACAGGTTACGGCCATCCGCTCTTCCTTCCTATTAATTTGTGGGTCTCTAGCTGCAATCCAACACGCCTCAAGTGCTTTCCGCGCAGTAGTCTCCGTTTCTAGTGCCAAGATGGTTACTGAAATTGTGAGTTCGTTACCTTCGTGGCACACAACTCGGTGCATTCCCAGTGGTGTTTGGGTGCGAGACTTTCCTAACCCCTCCAGGTGTTCTTTGATTCGAGTACGTAAGGGGCGCCCTGTTTCACCAATATATTCAGCACCACAGGCCTGGCAACGAATTTCGTAAATCACTCCTGCTCTCATGCAATCGCCCCGTCGATTAGAAGGACACACAAGGCAATCTGGTGTGTCACAAAGATGTCATATAAGCGATTGCGGACCAGTTGTCGACAAAGTTTTCTTGGAGGTATTTCCACAACCATGACCTCTTCCTTCAGATCACACCTAGTCACACATGCACGAATTGCTCTGCTCATTTCGTCGGAAATGAACGGTAGGCAGAGTGACACCTTATTGACCGGTGCTCGTTCATAAATTCTACGAGGTGGGAAATATCCCCCACGTTGTGACCCCTTGCAGCGATTAGGATACCCATTAGAGATCGCAATAATTCGAGCTGTGTCCAGCGATTCTGTCTTGAGATCCGTATCAGAGGAGACTTTACTGGCAACTCTGAACATATTGCTG